CAAAACCTACACCCCTAAACCCTAAAGCCCTAAACCCTAAAGCCCTAAACCCTAAAACCCTAAACCCCTAAACCCTAAAAGCCTAAACCCCTAAACCCCTAAACCCTACAACCCTAAACCCCTAAACCCTAAAACCCTAAACACTAAAACCCTAAACCCTAAAGCATTTAGGGACCTGAGAGGATTCGGGGAGAAGGCTCATACAAGGTTCATGGTTTCGAGTTAAGGGTTCGGTTTAGGGTTTAGGGTTTAGGGTTTGGGTTTCGGATTTCATGTAGGACTCACAGTGTACAGTGGATTTCAGTGTTCCGGGCCTGAGGATTTCCTGAGGTTGCAGGGTCCCCTTCTTTCTGCAACTTCTTCTTGTGCAAAGTGCACTGGTACAGGCAAACAGAGACCGTTCGACGTGAAACATCCGAACCGAGATCAGAGGGCCCGATCAAGGGTTTCTGTCAATCGAGCGTCGGAAAAAACCATGGGTCCCACGACCCTAATCCCATCTAACCCTAAGCCCGAGACCCATCTAGCCCTGCGCCTTGAATCTAGTTCTTGAAGACTCCGAAATCGCGTGCCCCAATCTGTGTTGTGCCTTTTTGTTCGAGGGGAAAGGGCTTATAGGCTTTAAGGGGTGTAAGGGTTTAGGGCTAGGGTGTAAGGGTTGGGAGTTTCAGGGTTTAGGTTGAGGGCTTATATATGGGCTTTCAGGTAAGTGTTCAGCGATTACGGCGTTTACGGTTTAGGCTGGGTTTAGGGTACGCCACCTTGGCAATGCTCGTAAAACCCACAACAATGACACCTCTTACAGACAACCCACAATGAGAACGCTAAATTTCCGAAGCTTATGCTCCAAGGTGTATACGGGTAGCTCTCTAAATTCGAGTCCCTTTTAAAGGGACCCCAAATCCCTTTAAACAAACTCCTTCTTCGGCTACATGGGGTTCCTAGCTCGAGCCAAGGGTCCCTTGACAAAGAGACTCCACTTGCTGGAGTCTTTCGTCACTAGTAAGTGGAGATGCTGTCAACTTAGGACGCTTCATACGCACCTCCTTGTCTCCATGACGAGGCTTGCACATGATCCCCACCAAACCTCTAGTGAAAAATGGATAGCCAGACGGAGAGGGGCGAGGATGGCTGCCCAGGCATGCGGCCATAAGCCGTGGGACTCGGTTCACCTGAGTTCCTTTATGGGATATTGGGGACATGCTGCTCGCCTGGATGCGTCGTTGCACCGCCCCATCCAAATAGCCTTGCAGGTCAGGGACGAGTCGTGGATGCTGGCGCACCCCCCGGAGCGCAGACGAATGGGACGCTGGCCAAACGCTCCCTATAGCCTCAGCCTCCTCTGGAGACGCTGCCGCTTGCCGGGAGATGCCCCCATGTGGGAGCTCATGGCATCGAATCGACAACGCTGGAAGGACTTTACGTTGGAGGTTTTTCAAGCCAAGAAGATGCTCCCTGACTCCTTCTATGCTAACCTGCATTAAAAGGACCCCAAAAGGGATTCGAATTTAGAGAACTACCCATATACATATATAATATGTTTCGCAGGTAGGGTTTGGGTAATTAGACACTAAACTGCTTCTCGTCAAGCCGATTCTCTTCGTCCTGGTCTCCGAACCACCCTAAACCCCTACCAAAACCCTAAACCCGAAGCCCCCAAACCCCTAAATCCTAAACTCTCAAACCCCAAACCACTAAGAGCCTGGCGAAGGTGCGCTGTTCACGGCCTTCGTTGCTGCCCCTCGTGCCGCTCCACACCCTGCCGCTCCGCACGCCACCACTGCAGCACTGAGCGCCGTGGCTGTAAAGCATATTATAGTATAAGCTATATCTCATTTATAGTACATCTATGTATATATATATATATATGTCTGTCTATCTATTTATCTATCTATCTATCTATATATATATATATATATATGTATACATATATATATATATATATATATAACATGCGATAATTCTGGGAAGGGAGTGCCCTCCTTGTGGGAGCTTTCAGGCTTCGGGGTTTGGGGCTTCCTGACTGGATGGCGGGCTTACTCTTTCGCCAGTAGTAGAGTGGGTAAGCCTTAACCTTTTTTGGGATATTCTAGTCCCTATATACTCCATATACAACCAAATAGGTTAACCTTTAGTTCCCCATGATACCCGACGAGTAGGTTTCGGATTGCCAGGGCATGGCTTGAAAGCCGCTCCGCATGTGTGGAAGGCTTTGTGATTGCACGGTTTAGGGTTTAGGGGTTTAGGGTTTAGGGGTTTAGAGTTTAGGGTTTAGGGGCTGAGATTCCAGAGAAGCGTGTGTGCCCACCTTTCGATACCGGAAACCATAGCAGCGAGCTGACCACAAGTGCTGCTGAGGTTTTATAAGGCTTATCTCATCACGAAGCCCCTCAACCTCCAGACGCTCCAAAGGTTGCATCACGTCCGGCCTGTCTGTAGATTCAAGAGTCTGCACCCATTCTCCCGGTTGAATTTGCTGCTGGATCTGGAGGGAACGGCAAGTCTCAGGCGCTCCTAGCCTTCATGATTCCAAAATGACATACTCTTGTATAAAATGAGCTTACTTTGTGTCAATCATGTAGAAAACCAATCTCCGCATTACCAGAGACATAGGTCGGTAGTCCCAAATCCTACTCAGTTGATCAGGGCCCCAAACCCTACATCCTAAGCCCTCAATCCTAAACCTTCAATCCTAAACCCTGAATCCTAAACCCTAAATCCTAAACCCTAAATCCTAAACCCTGAATCCAAACCTTAAATCCTGAACCCTCAATCCTAAACCCTCAATCCTAAACCCTGAATCCTAAACCGTGAATCCTAAACCCTCAATCCTAAACCCTAAATCCTAAACCCTATATCCTAAACCCTGAATCTTAAACCCTGAGACCCTATATCCTAAACCCTGAATCCTAAACCCCGTTCAGTTAATTCGGGCCCCCCGCGGACTTACTAACTGGTTTTTAGGGACTTATAAGTACCACAACCCCAACTAGGGTCCCTTTTAGGGTACTTATAAGTCAACTTACTACCTACTTACCACGTCCCTGAACCCTAAACCCTAAACCCTAATTATAGTACCCTTTAAAGAGACCCTTTCAATCCCCTTTAATGGAGCCCCCTACTAAGTCCCCCGACCCTCCAAGTGGTCATTCGTCCAGTTCCCAGGGCTGTGAGCTCCTCGACGCAGCAGCGACGTAGTTTCTTTGTCCGTTAAGGTAAAAGCCAGAAAGTTGGAATATGATTATCCTAATCCTTCTATGGTAAATTATAGGGTGTCCTACCATGAAACCATATTCCAACTTTCTGGAGTTTCCTATAATGGCCTGGGCAACGTACCCTTAAAGATCATGTCCCTAACTCAGTCATGTAGGGTTCTGAATAATTAGAATAGGGCTTTGGGGCCTAGTATACTATCGACTTTCAATAAGTTACCCCGGCCGGGGAGCATGGCGTCGAGTACTTCTTGGAATGGGTCCAGGCCCGGTTCATGGAGATGGAGGTCTCCGAGATCTCCCAGATGATGACCGAGCTTTTTAAAAGGTGCAAGCGCAGGCAGGACCAGCCGGCGCGTGAGTTCAACGTGGAGTTCGAGCGCTTGGTGCTGAGGCTTCACGAGGTTAAGTGTGAGCTGCCTCCTTTGGAGAAAGCCTGGCTCTACCTCGACAAGCTCCAGCTTTCCGAAGGAGAGGAACTTTCGCTATTGGCCTCGGTCGGGAACGATTTCGACGTGCGGAAGCTGCCCTCCATTTCTCTTGATTATTGCCCCAGTAGGCAGTCTCCCCTACTCGTTCTTTGTTGCACATCCTTTGATTAGTCTGGGGAGGGGTTCAGAGTGCAGGGTTCGGGCGACCGAGGTGCCGTGACACTGGTAGCCCCTCAGGCGGCACATGCCGAGGCAAGAGAGACTTTCAGGGCTTCCATAGTCTAAGCTAGCTCTGTTATACGGGTTTTATGACCTTTATCGGTTGTTACTCTCTGTTATACGAGTCTTATGGTTGTTACTAGACAACCATGTTTTGTGGTATCTTAAGTCTTAAAATGAGGGGCCGATTGTTTGAGGTTCCATGTCAGGGTCCCAATCTTCTGCAGCTACCCACGTGTTCTTGGCTCCTAGTCGGCTAAGCTGGCAACAATCCGAGGACCCTGAACCCAACACCCTAAACCCAAAGCCCTAAACCCTAAACCCCAAACCCTAAACCCCAAAACCCTAAACCCTAAACCCAAAATCAAAGTCACAGCGGGTCCGCTCTTGCGAGACCGAGTTCCCTGATGTAGGAACCTGATTCAGAAACCTTGTGCCTTTATTGTTTAAGGATCGTTTAAAGGGGTCTATAAGGGCTCCTTTAAGGGTGCGGATTAGGGTATGGGGGTTTCCGAAAATAGGGGACACTAAGGGTTCCTTTAAAGGGGTCTATAAGGGTATTATAAGGGATCTAAAAGGGTACTATAATGATAGTGTAGGAACCTGATTTAGAAACCTTGTGCCTTTATTGAGGTTCCGTATATGAATCCTAGTATCTTGGAGTTTTAGGCCCAGGGTTTCTTAATCAAGTTCCTACATTAGTTTGGATGCAGCCTTGCCAGCAGTCTGGATTTGTGATGTTGATGCTTCTCTCGGGGTGTCTTTGAGCTGTTGGTCTCGGTTTCCGTCTCTCTGTCTGGAAAGACGAGGAGCTGTGTTGAAGTTTATGTGTCCGTTGTTGTTCGCCTCTGCAGAATCAAATCCATATGTTCAGTCAAGATGCATCGCCCCGGCCATGACTACCTTCCAGCAGTGTTTGAGTATGTCGGCTGGTCCTGCGGTTTTCGTAGCTTCATCAGCGATGCAGGCTTGCTGCAGTCGGTTCACTTGCGAGAGAGACTTGATGTAGTTCGTCTGCTGGGATGCTTGAGGTGGGCGCGTGCCGTTGCTAGTTCAAACATCGCAGATCGAAGCGGTCCTAGTCCTAAGGCGAAACAACCACCAACAGCATGTAAGGACGAATCTCACCGGCCGGCACATGTCACATGCCTGTGTTCGAATGGGCGATACTCTTTGCAGGACGGTGCCGTGTGGATCCCGGCGCTCTCCGCCATCGGTGCCGGCTTCGCGATTGGCCTTGCTGCCATTGGCTCCGGCGTCGGCCAGGCCGCCATAATTCAACTCGAGCGTTGCATGCATGACCCGTCTTAGATATGTGTCTCAGGGAAAACTTCGACTCCACATCGTAGTAACGTAGTATCTTGTAACCGTGTACGGATGAGTTGGCGTTACATGTTTCTTCAGCTCCTGAGCTGACAGCCGTTCTTCCTCTCAAACCTCATTCTTGTTCTCAGGGAATTGCCAGTGGCCGCTGCATTGATGGCATCTCTCGCCAGCCAGAGGCCATGGACTGCACTTGCAGGTTAATCTGCGCCTGAAGTTACCTGACGGCTGGGGTTGCATAATGGAACCCCACTTTGGTTTACTTGTGAATCGGTTCGTGGTGCTTTCCTTCCAACAACCCAGCTCGTCCAACTAGGTGGAAAGAACTTGAACCACATTCGTGGAAGCTTTGGCAAAGCCCACTGGCCGGTTTCATAGCTGATCAACTACCGCACCAGTGCATGAAGGTCGCGGATGACCTTCGTGGTGTGCTGATGCTTGGCAGCAGTCCGGATGCTGCTTTGGACGTCCTGGATCGGAGTAGCATTGTCTCGGAAACTCGCGTCGTAGTTGCGTTCTTGTGGTAGTGACGACAGTGTCTCCTTTGTTGAAGACAGGAAGTAGGTAGTCAGTTGTGCGAGTGAGTCGTGTACACCAAGCTTAGGTTCTTGAGTAAATTTGGGTATCTCTTGGCGTCCAGAAGTCGAAGTAGAGCCTTTCAGCCCGAGCTTCTGACAGTCCGTGAGCTTTGAGCTTTATACAGGCACTTTGCTCGAAGTACCCTTAAACCCTAAAACCCTTAAACCCTAAACCCCAAACCCTTAACCCCTAAACAGCCCCAGAGGCTTGATAGTCAGTTGCTTCCCCGCAGCAACACGCAACCCAAAGTGCTCAAGCTCTGCCTAACAAGACCTGAAGCCTACTAATACGTATGCTCACGCCTGACAGCTCTTACTTACTGGGTCCTGTATAGTATCAAAAACACGTACCTCGAGTCTTATAGACCTCTAGCAGCCCTTGTAGAAACTCTTATAGTATCCCTTCTAGTAGCCGTGAGAATCCTTAAAAAGTTAGATAGAGCAATCCGAATTAGAGCAACCTAGGGTCTCCCGGTATACAAGTACGGTTGATGATGTATATCCTGCATTACCCATGATCAGGAATATATCGTAATTCCCACAGTCTAGGGTCCTTCAAGGTAATGCAGGATCTGTATCATCTTCAGCAATACCACTACTTTGGGGGCATGTGGAGCCCCCGTCATAGCAATTCAAGGTCATCCTTATAGTAACCCTTAGTTCAACCTATAGTAATCCTTCTTATCCTGATTATTTTAGAACAGCCCCAGGCTGCCTTATCCTAGTTGTGTAACAACCTACAGTAATCCCTATAGCAATCCTTACCGTAATCCTAGTTATAGTAACCTACGATTATGCTTGTGTAGAAATCATTAATTAAGCCCAGAGTAATCCTAATTACTTATGGTAACCCAAACAAGGAAATCCCTATAGTAATCCAAACTTAAACGTATAGTAACCCTTATCCTAAATAGTAACCCAAGGTAATCCGTACAATAACGCTTAATTAAGCCTGTACTCCTCATATCCTAATTATATACCTTAGTATAACCCAAGGAAATCCTTGTAGCAAGCATTAATTAAGCCTGTACTCCTTATATCCTAATTCTTTTATACAATCCTCATAATAATCCTTAGTTCTACGCCTATACGCCTTATATCCAAACTCTTATATACCATAATCCGAAATTCTATCCCATAGTCAAGCCTAAATTCCTTTATATACGAACCTGAAGGCTGCTCTCCCTGGCCTTCATGGAGTCCTTATATCCTAGCTCTGATATACAATCTTAAACATATAAAAATACTTATCCTAAATAGTAGCCCCAGGTAACCCCTAAGTAACCCAATACTCCTTGTATCCTAATTATGTACCAACCCGAAGGCTGCTCTCCCTGGCCTTCATGGAGTCCCTGACCATCTACGGCCTCGTGATTGCGCTGGTGCCGGCCTCAACGGCCGGGTCCAGCTACCGAGCCCAGAAAGGAGCCCTGAAAGAAAGCCTTTCAAGGGAGCGGTCGAGGGAACCCTTGTAATAGTAATCCTTAAAGGAACCCTTACAAAAGAAGCCTTATAGCAACCCTCATACTTCAAGGAGCCCGTATGGATTACTTAGCGGAATCCCATATCATACGGGTTCCTGTCAGGGTTTCTAGACAGGTCCTGTTTTAATGTCTCCTTAAAGGGGCTTCTTTAAGGGATTTCTACAGAGGGCTTTTCGGGGTTCCTAGGGCGGTCTGGATATGAGCAGCTTTAATGTTGGTCCAAAGGGCTTCTCATCATATTCAGAGGGTTCAGGGTTTAGGATTTAGGGCTTAGGGTTTAGGGTTTAAGAACCCTCAAAACTCTGTTCTGTCTCATTCCAGCACTTGTGCTAGGGGGTGTGGGGGTCGGGATGTCGCACTTGCACTGTTGGTGCAAACTACTCGTTTTGGTGAGATGGCTTCAAGGCGTAGGTTATTGGGTTTGATTACGGTTCGGCTATATTGATTTTTTCTAAGTTAGAGTTCTCCCCCAGTCAAGAGAATACTCACAGCAATGCCAGAACAAGCTTGAATCTATCATCGTCACAGCAACAATGAAGATGGTGTTGGGAATAATCGAAATTACAGAAGGTTCGCAACAACACAGTTGCTATCACATGCAATATTCGAGTTTCAGAACAATCGCAACAATCGTCATGCTCCTCTGCACCTTGATCATCACGGTGACCGTCATCAGATGCACTGCCATTGTCATCATCTTTGTTACTACCCTGACCCTCACCATAGGTTTCGGGCTTAGGGTATTATTCTCATCGCCACCATTGTTCTTCCCCTCATTCCGAGGTTCCTCATGCCTTGCAAACGTAGAAAGTAGCTTGTGCCAGTTTCGGGGTTGCGCTGAAGTAGTATCGGGGGCTGAATAATTCGAAAGAAGATCCTTCGTGCTAGAGTCGCTATGTAATTCTGGCGAGTCTTCCCCTAATCCCTAAGGGTCCATATACTCATATAGTATATACATTGGCCTTAAAGTAATCCTTTTATAGGTACATTGGGCCCCAAGTATATGCCATGTTGTTACATGGACCCTTTGGGAATAGTCCTCAAACGCCCATTCCCCTCTGCTTCGGAGCATAGGCGGGTTGCCGTAGCCTTTTAGAAGGCTTCCTTGGCGCTGGTTCTTTCTCTGAGGTGCTCCTGTTCGCGAATCCCCTGATCAAGTGAGCAACATGACGGCAACCGGAAGTCAGTTTTTCCAGCAGAAGTTATTCCCGTTTCCGCCACAAGCCCCAGGCCCAACCTTTACCCAGTAACCCCAAAACTAGGCTGCAGAAGCCTATCTGTTAGCAAGTAGAGCTCGAGCTCCGACAAAAAGGCGCTTGGCACATCGCACGTATGGGGTGGGCTTTCGGGGTTAGGGTTTATGTACTTGCGGGGAGGACGGTAGGGAAGGGTGCCTGAATTCCTAAGCCTCAAACATTCCTTCTATTAAAGCTTCTCCAAAGGACAGCCATACACCTGGGATTGAGAGTACACCTCAATGTTACTGTAGCCTCTTCTTGTGGCTAAAAGAATATTTAGCATGTCTTAGCTACGGCCCCCCTTAACCGCCCTAAATGGTAAACAGCAACTCGCAGAAGAAGAGTGAGAAGTCGATTGATTCATATGCTGCCCGCTCTGCAATCTGCAGACCACATCACGTAATATAGTGGCCTAAATCATTTGTTACAATAGTGTTTTCGGTGTTAAATGTTACTGGATAGGCCTAGGCAACTATTATCGGATTCTTGTGGGGTGTGTGGGGGGCTAAGGGAAATGCCATTGCCAGTTCTTCGGACTGCTGCGTTACATGGGAAATCCTTGCAAGACTGGTCTGTAGAGGCTCCTATAGCTTCACTCCCCGACACTACCTATGGTCTCCATCGTAGTTCCCTTTTTCGGTTAACCAAATGTATATTGTATATTATAGGATCCTAACTAACCCCATAAAGTTCGTCAGCCAAAAGAAGGAACCACAACGGAGACTATAGGTAGGTTCGAACAGCTTATCTGCAAATGCAGGGATCGTGTGTCTGTACCCTAAGGGCTCCAAGTAGTCCTTACTTATGGTTTTTGATACCCTAGGACCTAGAGTAGGCCCTTATTCCCTTTTTTGGGGTTCAGGTTCCCTTATGAGCCCCTTTAAACCAAAAAGGGCACCCTTTTTATTCCTAGGCTACTCTTAGGTCTAGTACCTAAAAATGCCAAGCGTTTGATGAAGCAGGAACTCTCTGCGCCCACGGCCGATCGCGAGCAGGTAGCTCCAAAGGGCCCTAAGTACTTCTATATATAATGGGGAATACTTTCCCAAACCATAGCAATTCCCAATATAGACACCCTACATTCTACCATGGATACTTAGGAGTGTGTGTGTGTGTGTGTGTGCGCCTAGCTGCAGCACCTATGTACATACAAGTGTATGTGCATGTGTAAGTAAGTATGTATGTACGTATATGGAAGTACACATCTGACATATGTTTTCTTTTAAATCATATCTGCGTGTACTCTCTCTCTACATATATATATATGTATACATATTATACAATTGTATATGATTGTCGCTTAATCTATTTGCACACACATGCACACATGACATGGGCGTACTCATGCCTTCACGGCCGCACGGCTCAATATCAGTTTTTGCCCGACAGCTTGTTGCAGTATCCCGAGCTTTTGCCGGAATCCTCTGAAGAAGCTCTGCGGCACCTACAGGCTTTTAGGATTTCCGGTATTCAAGGTTTGCGCTTAGGGTTTAAGGCTTGGTCACTTGTGTTGCTGTGGTTGTCTATGTCCAGAGATCCATGCGGGTAAATTGCGAACTCTCCTTACCTCCTAGTGGGAAGCTCTCTCGTCGAATTCAGGGTTTGGGGCTTACGGTTTGAGTTTGGGGTTTGGAGTTTAGTTTGATATTGGGCTCTCTGACTCTGGGTACCTGCGACGGCTCCTGGGCAGGAGTCTGATACCGACGGCAACTGCCGTAAATCGCATGGGCATGTCCTTCACCATCAGCCCCAAACTCCTAACCCCCAAACCTGCACCCCGAAACCCTAAAACCTAAACCCTAACCCCTAAACTTGGCCCTAGACCCTAAACCGTAAACCCTAAAACCTAAACCCCAACCCCAAACTCGGAACCCTGATACTCCACAGGCCTCTTGAAGCCACTA